TGCCAACCTCCAGTCAAGTGGAACTCCCCCAGTCATGCAGGACTCCTGATAGATGATGGAAAGGGGCTTGGTGAGCACCTCTGCCAGTTCCCTCAGTACCCTCGGGTGGACCCCGTCCAGGCCCATAGATTTGTGCATGTCTAATTGGCCAAGCAGGTCACTAACCCTTTCATCTTGGATCATGGGAGCTTTGTTCTTCTCACCATCCCTGTCTTCTGGGTCAGAGGGCTGGGTACCTGGAGAACAGCTGACCTTACTATTAAAGACTGAGGCAAAGGAGGTATTAATTACCTCAGTCTTATCCTCATCCTTTGTCACTATGGTTCCCCCTGCATCAAGTAAAGAATGGAGATTCTCCTTGGCTCTCCTTTTGTTGTTTATAGAAACATTTTTTATTATCTTTCACAGAACTGGCCAGTTTAAGTTCTAGCTGGGCTAGATCTTCTATTTTTTATATTTCTATATTTTTCTGATTTTCTCTCTGCATGACCTTGCTTCATCCTTGTAGTCCTCCTGAGATGCCTGCCCCTTCTTCCAAAGCTCATAGACTTTCCTCTTCTTTTTGAGATCCAGCCAAAGCTCTCTGTTCAGTCAGGCCAGTTTTCTTTCCTGACAGCTCATCTTTCAGCACATGGAGATGGCCTGCTCTTGCGCCTCCAGGATTTCCTTCTTGCAGAGTATCCAGCCTTCCTGGGCTCCTTTGCTCTTCAGGACTGCCTCCCAAGGGACTTTGTCAACCAGCCTTCTGAACAGTTCAAAGTCTGCCCTCCGGAAGTCCAAGGTGGCAGTTCTGATAACCCCTCTCCTAACTTGTCCATGAATCAAGAATTGTATTATTTCATGATCGCTGTGCCCCAGACGTCCTCCAACCATCACATCAGCCACAAGGCCTTCTCTGTTCACAAACAACAGGTCCAGCAGATGCCTTCCCTAGTTGGTTCACTCACCAGTTGTGTCAGGAAGTTGTTTTCCACACACCCCAGAAACCTTGTAGACTGTTCCCTCTCTGCTGTATTGTATTTCCAGCAGACATCTGGTAAATTGAAGTCCCTGACGAGAATAAGGGCTGGCAATTGTGAGACTTGTCCCAGTTGCTTGTGGAATATTTCATCTGTCCCTTCATCCTGGTTGGGCTGTCTGTAACAGACTCCCACCACAGTATCTGCCTTGTTGCCCTTTCCCCTGTTTTTCACCCATAAGCACTCAATCCTATCATCACCATCATTGACCTCAAGGCAATTGAAACACTCTCTAATATACAGGGCTACCCCACTGCCTCTCCTTCCTTTCCTATCCCGCCTGGAGAGTCTATAGCCATCCATGGTGGCACTCCAGTTGTGTGAGTCATCCCACCACATTTATGTGATAGCAACTATATCGTAGTTTCCCTGCTGCATGATGGCTTCTAGTTCCTCCTGTTTGTTGTCCATGCTGCGTGCATTGGTATAGATGCACTTCAGCTGGGCTATTGATCCCGCCACTCTTCTGAGGGGAGAAGTCTTAATTCCTTGGTGACTAATCACAGTTGTTTCTAACCCATCAATAACCTTTGTATCTTTGCTGCCACTTGGATTACTATCTGCCACTTCCTCTGAGGTGGCAGACCAAAGGACCTTGCTAGCACACTGTCCCTCACAGGTTGGCGTGCCATCCTCAGGCTTATTTCTATCAAGCCTGGTTTCATCCCCCGCCCCCTTCAAATCTAGTTTAAAGCTTTCAATGACCCCTGCTGGCTTCTTGGTGAGCATCCTTTTGCCCCTTGGAGACAGGTATACCCCATCATTTGCCAGCAGGCCTGGTGTTGTGTAGGCCAACCCATGGTCAAAAAATCCAAAATTCTGCTCCTCACACCAGGCTCAGAGCCTGGTGTTTATTTCCTGGCTCTTCCTGTTCCATCCCTCACTGTTCCCTGTAATGGGAATGACAGAGGATAACACAACTTGTGCACCTGATCCCTTCACCATTTGCCCCAAGGCCCTGAAGTCCTTAATTTCCCTCAGGCTTCTTGTCGATATTTCATCACTGCCTACTTGGAAAATCAATAGTGGATAATAATCTGTGGGCCTTGCCAGAGTTGGAAGTTTTCTTTTCACATCTTTAACCTGGGCCCCAGATAGGCAGCAGACTTTCCTATGAAATGGGTTTGGTTGCATATTGGGCCTTCTGTTCCCTTCAGAAGGGAGTCCCCTATGACAATGATACGTCTTTTCTTCTTTATGGGAGCCGTTTTGATGCAGGGCTTGGGTTGTCTTAACCTCGGGAATGTTTCTAAGCTGTGAGAACCATCACCCTCATTAAAATTTGGTTCCACTTGCAGTTTCATATCTGTTATGCAAGGGTACCTGGGAGGTTGAGGTTGTCACAGAGGAGACACACCTGCTGTGCTGGGCAGGAACTTGCTGCCATTTCCCCTTGTCTCCTAAATTCCTCTGTTCAGCTGGGTGGAGAGAGGACAGGGAGCCCTCCGTTGCACGACACATGCTTGGCTGTTGGGTCTGAGAGATGCAGCAAAGGGTGTTGTTCCAGTAGTCAGTCTCCCTCTCACACTCCCTGACAGTCCTCAGCCTACTCACCTCCTCCTGGAGCTCTGTCACTAAGCGGAGGGGTTCCTCCACCCAGGCACACCTCTCACAGGTGAACTCACCACTGGTGTCCGATACAAGTGCAAGAGGGGGGCATGACCTACAGCCTGACATTTGGGTGGCAGCACACACCCCCTGGAGCTCTGCCTGGGAGGCTGCATCAGTCATAGCTGGTGCAGAGCAAGGAGAGGCCTTGGTTTTCTATCAGGTAGAAACCATGGTTCTCTGGTACTTCTGACAAAGCTCCAGCACATTCCCTGCAAGCCCTGCCTGCGGAAACGGACGAGCCACATCCTGGCTGACCTGCCATGCCCTGTTCACTGGTGCTGCCTAAGGCTCACTTTTATGGGAATAGGGGTTCTGCCCTTACCGATGCTTTTGCCTCGTTTAAATGTGCCGCTGTCAGGGCAGGCTGCGCCCACGCCTCCTCAGCAGCCCTCTGATGGGCTGCCCTCCCCCAGTGGTGCCCTGGCTTTTCCCTGCCTCTGGAAAGCTCTGGAAAAGCCCCTGTTAGCTGCCACTCCTGCTCTCTGGTGCAGGCGAGCCTGCTCAGGAGCTGTTTGCTTCAGCAAAAAAAAAAGGAGAATTAGGCCTGCCAAATGCATAGTGATTCATCAGACCCAGAGGACTTTAAATTCCCCAGGTGGCAGTGACCAAAACCAACTGCTGGGAATTAGTCCTTCAGGTCACCTCTTAATGTCATAGGGCAAGCGATAGTCACAACAGCTGAAGCTGGTCAGCCAGCGCATTGGGCCTGTTCCCATTTCATCCAATGGTGATCTTGCCAACCAAAACCAGAGCAAGAAAGTTCTGGGTATAAACAACAGTAGAGTTTGCTGGAAGAAGCAAACCTTTGCTGTAACCAACCAATGCCAGATGATCTCTACTGGAGAGCAATCACCTCCATGGTTCAAACTTCTCATAGAACATTTTCCTTCATCTGTCAACAAAACAGGAAAGTAATGACAAGGTCTTGTGCAGTGCCAACGAAGATAATAGAGTGTACTCAAGCAATGAGCATTGGTTTCCTCTCTGCCAAAGCTCTGGGCTCAGACCCCATGGTAGCAGAAATGAGCAGGGGCTAATGGGTAGGGAGAGAGCTGGAGAAATCAGCATTGCCCCTACAGCATAAACCAAGCGACCCACAGTCTTGAGCAGGCTGAGGTGTGAGCTCTGCATCTTACAGCAGGCAGCTATCAGGGCAGCTGGCACCAACTCTGCAGTTTCCCTATGGACACCTCTGCAGAGCCCTTACTCATTAATGTATTTCAGGTTGGTCTTAAAGCAGATCATATAGATAGGAAAAAAACCCCATTCTGCTCAGCTGGTGGATTTGAAGCATTAGAAACATCACTAAGATGATAAATATTTTCTTTCTCTTTTTTTAATCCTTCTGCTAAAAAACATATCCTGCTCCAAAGCTGTGTTTCCTTTCTCTCTCATGCACACACACACAGTTTTTCTGTCGAAAAAGCTCACTCACATTGCAATCATGATCTACGGGACCATATGTCTGTAGGTAACACACACAGCTATCAGGCACCCCCATGGAGACATAGGTGTTACAGTATCAGTCCAATAGAGAACAAAATCTTAAGTTTCCTCCCTAGGTCTGGGGTGTACCGTGCCAAGCTCATTCAATCAGACTGATATAGTCAACAGCACTTGGATATCTGTGCCTACGCAGGGGCTCAGTTTGGGCTGGGCCACTGTTCAGCTGGGGATGCACGTCAGTTTAAAAGCCTGGTGTTGAAGGCAGTGCTAAGAGGAACAGTGTCATTCCAAGAAAGTCACCTCTTTTCAGAGTGAAAGCCAAGCTCCAATGACAGAAACAAACCAGCATCTTGCTCACTTCTCACATGGCACGACAGGGCTATGTTCTGTCTGTGTTTGTTTCAAGAGAGATTGCAGAACATCATCTGAGAGTCCAGGTGTTCTCTTTCTGTCTTCCAAGACAACTTCTCCCTCAGCTGGCTTTGAAAAGCAAGCAGTAGTGGGGTGGTTTGGAAAGATCTTACACCCATCTCTGTTCAAGACCACCTGGGCCATCTGCAGGCAACGCAATGCATATTTTGTTCCATCCCGGTTTGCTAGCTCTGAAATCTTCTGCAACAGACATTGTGATGCAGCCTCGTAGGTGGGATCTGTTCTGTCTGGACGTTTCTTGCAATACATTTTGTAGAACTCATCAAGAGATTTCCTGACACTGGTATCTTCTGCACCATCATGTTCATACGCCCATGAGAGAGAAGCATCGTTAGGTTCAGTGGGCTCACACAGCCCTGCTTTTGGATAACATCTCACGTTTGCTTTCTCAGAGCCTCCAGCAGAAAAGCTCTCAGGAACTCCAGAGGATAGACTGTTCTCTCCTGCAAGCACAAGATCAATGAAACTCATTAGTCATCAGGTCATCCCTGTGGCAAAATCTTTTTTTGTCCCCCCTCACTGCAGTCTGGCAAACAGGCTCTGTGCAGGAGTGAGCTAAGTACTGCTTTAAACTCGGCTGGACTGCCAGAGGGGCTTGCTGCATAGATTCATGCAAGATGGGCTGTACTTGGGGATCTCATAGTTGTCCCAGCCTCACCCCTACTGCAGTGATTGAATCTACTTGGTAGTATGCACCTCCTAGCTCCTCTCAGTCATACTTCCAAAGAGGTGGAAATTGGGATCTGCTGCTGGTAGAAACAACAGCTGACCCACAGGAAAGTCTAGTTTGCAGCTGAATCAGTTCTGCCTCTGTTTCTTTTTTCCCCCTTCATCCCTGGGTCTAATTCTTCCCTTTTCATAGTTCTCAATTTTACTACTACAGCACAATGTGCAGTCCTGTCCTTCAGCTTTCAGCCAGATCTAAAGCCTTGAAACCAACACTGCTGTGGTGACTGCATAGAGTTTGGAAATGAGGATTGCAAAAGGGGACATTGTGCTTCCCCATGAAGTCCCTTTTTCACAGCCCAGCTGCACTAAACACTCTTCTCACATCCTGCAGGAATTTTTATAGATAGCACTCATGTAAAGGCCAAGGGCTCACTCTTGCCTAGCTCTTCTTCTCCTTCCTTGCTGACCCACATCTCTGGAGAACAGTCAGGGCTATGGTTATCTTCTGCTCCAATGCAATCAAGGGGAATAATTCGTACTTGCACATAATTAATACAGCATCAGCACAGAGACTCTTGGCAATGACGTGACCAGGACAATCAGCAAGCCACACACAGCTTCTAGTATGAAAAGCCTCCACAAAGGGACTTTGAATTGGGTTCTGGTACCCAGGGAATGCCTCTAACTGCAGTCTCATCTCCAAGCCCACCATGCCAGCCTGTTTGCAAAGCACCTGAGTCACCAACAAGAAAATTTTCCAGGGCTCAGCCAGAGGTTGTATAGCCGTCATCTGCAAGTTACATAAGCAGGACGCAGGGAGTCAGAAAATAGCTTGGTCTTTTCTAATTCTGTGAAATATAAAGCAGAGTGCAGTCCTTCATTTTGGTGAGAGACCATGTTCAAGGGAAATCTCAGTGCGGTGGCAGAAGGCTGTTCTTTCCCTCCCGGTACACAAAGAGCTACCCTCCTCTTCCTGAGCGGTCAGATATTCATTAAAATGAAATTAAGATGTCTGTGCAGCCATACTGTACATTGCCTCTTTCTTCCTCCCCCTACTTTCTATCTTTGATCTTTGTTTTCAATTTCACTTCATCTCCGATTCTGCAATTTTAAATAGAACTTTTCCTCCTCTTGCAATGTGTCATTTCCAATGCAGTACAAAGAAAAGCTTAGTGGCTTTCTTTTAACATCAATATATGCCACCAGAGTAGCAAATCAGAGCTAATCAAAGAGAACAGGTCCATTTTGCCTCAATAATCTCTCAGCCTTGGTACCTATGCTAAGTTAGAACTGAAGCCTCATGCATCTCTGGTAATTCAATCAAGTGGCACTTGCACTCAGCCTCCTGTGGCAATCGCAACCCCCTCTGCCATGCTGTCGTCTTGCTGCTTCTTACGCACAGCTCACAGCCATATTTGTAAAAGAGCAGCAGCTGCCTCCAGCTACAAATCTCAACCCTATAAGCCGGGAAGAGCAAAACTGTGTTGGTTTCATGGTGTCAGGGGAGACCTTTGCAATGCTGTTCTGTCTTTCTTCTGTGATCTTAGCTTGGATATCAGGAAAAATTTCTTCACTGAAATGGTTATCATGCATTGGAACGGGCTGCCCAGGGAAGTGGTTGAGTCACCATCCCTGTAGGTGTTTAAAAGATGTGTAGATATGGCACTTACGGACGTGGTTTAGTGGTGGACTTGGCAGTGTTTGGTTTACAGTCAGACTTGATGATCTTAAAGATCTTTTCCAACTTAAATGATTCTATTCTATTTATTCTATTCTGTTCTGTTCTATTCTATTCTAAGCCAGTATGACCTATAAAGCAGTCATCCTCCATTGAAACACAATCCTCCAAAGAAGTGACCGGTACGTATTTCAGGGGTATATTTTGTGGCTTGATTAGTCAGAAAGTACTCAATTATATTATTGGGAGAACAGTTTTCTTTCAGTTACTGATTCAAATTTATGCCTCTCTATTTTTCAACAGTAGGCCCTACCCCTTTAGTGGATTACTTTTCCAGCAAAGCCTTCTTAAGGCAAGACATGAAATTAGACACAGAATTCCCAGAACCAATCTATATCCCACAAAGTTGCACCTTTCCTCAGCTTTCCTGACAATTTCCCAACACCTCCTCAAACTATGTGCCAAGACTGATCTTTGCAAATACACTCAACCCTTTTCCTCCCTAAAAGATATCAGTCAAGGTAGAGGTCCTTCCTTGACACCCTCTAAAGAGCTGATACCGCCGTTGTAATGCACAAATCTCCTGAATGATTTATAAGCCACAGGGCACAAGCCCAGTAGCTGGATGCCTGCAGGTCCAGAAAGAGCTTCTCAGATGGGACACACATACAGCACACAAGCACACCACCTGAGCCAGCAAATGTGCTGCTAAAGGCAAAGGCAGCATTAAACTAATCAATCCCTTTCCCTCCCCATGCACCTGCACCCCTTAAGAAAGCTAGGATTCCCTGATAACACACAGCAGCATTGCTTCAAAGCTTAGACCTCTCTGGCCAGCTCTCAGCAGCAGGAAAAATGTAGTTTTGTAAACTCACTATCCTTCCACGGCAAAATTTTACAACACAGCTGTCACACAACCTTGTGTTGGCTTGACCCAGTGCCTACAGAAGTCAATACAAAGATGAGCAGGGCTGAAAACTCACACTCCATTCGCCTGAAACGGAGTTTCGTCACCAGAGAATCTCTTGCCCAATTTTCACTCATACTACCAAGCATGGGTTAAAGGGAAAAAAAAAAACCCTCAGAAACTGAAACAGGTCATTACTCATGTCTTGATTTCATTCTCACATGATGGATAATCATCAGTAAGAATGTATATTATTTCATCTGCGCCTCCACTCCGCGCTAACTGAAGTTCAGCATTTGCAGCTTATTAGTAAAAGACCTGGGGGCTGATAAAAGGATATTCTTTGTGTTTATAAACCTCCTGATGAAAATTTAAAGTCTCCATCTGGTACAAGCACATAACCCTACCGCCTGAAGCACACAACCAATCCTGCTTTGGACTTGGGCCACTTTCAGTGATGCAACAACTCAGCTATATTATTATTTGCACTTCTACAAAAGCAGCTCACATAGCAGTTTGAGTTTCTGTATAACTGTGTTCAAGCACACACAGTCAGAGGTACAATAAGACATCCCTCAAACAGCAGAGCTCCTACACTGCTGGCTTTCTGGGGAAAGAAATCCCCCCCAGTTCAGGTGGGCAGCAACCCCTGCAGCTGCTAGTGCTTCATTAGAGCTGGTGGGGCTGTGATCTGTCTCTGTCCCTTGCAGGGGCTTAGCTAAATGCCATCAGCTGCTAATTCTCTAGTTACAACATCTGTAGCTGGATTGGTCCAAGCCTCCTGCCTTCTCCCACACCATCTGACTGCCTTCCAGGGACCCCGCTTGTAGGACATGTGGTTGCCCTCCTGCCCAGTCCACAAAGGCCCATCCTATTATCAGGGTCTGAGAGATTTATACTTTAGATCCGAGTATGGGGACAGCTAAACCACAGTGTTTGTCATCAGCAGTTCTGATGACAAATTACATTGCTTGGTTTAGGGCAGGAATCATTTGCCCTAGGGCTTAGGAATGACTCATCCCTGGCACAGATGGAGCTCGAGTCCAACCCACCAAAATGAATGCCAATCCCATACCCACCCCAGAGCTGCTCTGGTGCTCTCAGATGTTAGACACTATTGGAGCAGCCACGTTCAACAAGGGCAGCATGCCCCATCTCTAAATGGTTCAAGCCCTTGACCCCTTTCAGCTATTTGATTGATCACATATGGTAGATAACTTGGAGCAAGGGCTGAATTTCTCTGGGTGCCTCTATTGTGCCACCCTAAACAAGGACCAAGAAAACTATGAGACTGAGAAAAGGAAATAATTTTTTTGAACAGAACTAAATTAATGTGGAGACATACAAATTGCCCTTATGTTCACAGTAGTGATTGAAGTTCAACTAGATGTTGGTTAGATGATGCTAGAACATTTCCCTACGCTGTAAAGTCAATGATAGGACTGTTATCCAGAGTATCTCAGAGTGATAGAGATTATTTTGGTACTCAACTCTGAGATGTATACTGAGGAAACACGTCTGCTTCCTGCTACATCCTACTGTTTGTGAAGGCCTGAAGAGACCATTAGGATCAGCTTGTCTGAACAAATGTCCCTAAACGAAGATTACCAGAGAACTGAGCAATGCAACAGTGGAAAGGCAAAATAAAGGAAAGGAGAAAGCTAGATGCGAGAGAAACTCTTTCCTTGGGTGAGACTATCCCAAAACTCACCAATACTTTACCTAATTTCCCTGGGAGTAGATGGGACTGAGCATAACTGAACACAGCATTTTTTCAGAACAGCTGAAGAACAGAAGCAGGAGACGTGTTCTCACTGGTGAGACAAATGCCAGCTATGGACTGCCATGTCAGAGCTTAAAATACTGCCTTGCCCAAGGCATGACCACCATTTTATGCCAAGTTCAAGATCTGCAAGAGATGACAGATCCTGCCTCTTGGCACATCACAGTTAATTGGTGCTCCCAAACTTTTCCTCAGAGAGCAAGACAGAAGACTCCTCTGTTGGTCACAAAATCAGCCATTTCTTGCCGTGGACACCCCACCTGCTCTGAACACTGCCACCTGTACCTCAGCATGCTCTTTCTACCCACATGAGTCTTTTCCCCCACTGTGACTTGTTACAGTTAAAGTCAACACATTCTCGACATCCATGGGCAATGATGAGTTGTACAAGGACAACTCTAGGGGA